GGGTATAGGGTTCAGGGCTTCATGATAGTGAGGGAGGTCACTTACAACGCCAAGAGTTGAAAGGTGGACGCGAAAGCCTTTGGGCAAACCATCGTACCGCACCAGGCCCCAACAACAAGTTGGGGTCAGTACAAGCTGCTAGAAATCATCTGCTTACACGCATTACCCAGTTTTGCCCGGCGTCAACAATGTCGGCAACCCTAATGCCAAACCCAAACCCTCAGCCATAATCCGCAGCCGACTCCAGCGAATTGTTGAGACAAACAGCAATACTTGCAGGGTCAGGGGGACTTCACCACCAGGTTACTGATGAGAATGCGAGGACCAGGATTACGTATACTTACTAAGTCCCACTTACCACCCAAGTAATGAATGTCTGGCGCCAAGTCCTGAACTCACAATTCCTACTTCATGCACACTACATGAAGGGTTGTCAAGATGATGGTCCCTTTCGGTATCCCCAATATAATACGTCCTTTCATGTTTAGTACCCCAAAATTGGACCACCATTTTGACAACCCCCCCAATCCCTAAACCCTAAACCCTAGAACCCAAACCCTAAACTCCAAACCCTAAACCCTAAACCCTCAATCCCAGCAGTCTTTGGAGACCACTTGGTGGCAGGGCTGCAGGTGAAGGCAGAGCACATGACCTTGTCGCAGCACTCCTTGCCGGTCCAAGCTTGGTGCTTTGGGAGGGATTTAGGGTTTGAGGGTCTAGGGTTTAAGGTTGAGGTTTGAGGGTTTAGGTTGGTTTAGGGTCTTGGGTTTAATGGCTTGAGGGGTTTAGGCCTTAGGGTGTAGGGTTTAGGGTGTTCAGAGCTTAAGTTTCAGGGCTTGGGCTTTGATGGGTTCTTGCTCGAAGTTTAGGGTCTGGGTTTTTGGGATTGAGGGCAAGGCCCTCGACCCTAAACCCTTGAAGCCTAAACCCCAAGCCCCTAAGCCCTAAGAGTTGACGGTTTTGGCAGGGCGCAGGGCCCAGTAAACTAGACCAAGGCATTAGGTCGGCAGTCCTTCAGCTTTGGCTGTAGGGTTTAGGTTTTAGGGTGTTGGGGTTATAAGCTTCATAAGACCCACTCGATGTAGGGCCACCAATGGGTAGAACAGAAAATGGGGAGGTGGATCCCATCTATCCCTATCCGATCTGCGGTACTCATATGTATACTCCATTCACCCACACTTGCAAAAGCTAACGAGTCCACGTGGTCTGTCGGAACAATACGTTTAGGGTTTGGGGGGCTGTCAAAAGGGATTGCCGTTGCCTAGAAAATTGGAACAGGGCTCTGGGCAGCTTGTGGCCAACATTGCAAAATGGGAAATTGCAAAGAGAGAAGATTTGGAATCGTGCCTGCTCGAGTAATGATATTGGGCAACTCCACATTCCATCAATGTAAAGGGGCCTCTTGACCCTGAACCCTAAACCCGAAACCGTGAACCCTAAACCCTAGACCCTAAACCCGAAACTTAAGGGGGACTATAGCTCTAAATCCTGGCCTCATCGCTGTAGCCAGGCTGGGAGAGACCCTGAGAGCCGACATCTGCTTTGTGGATCCACTTCCTTGGAATATGTGGGGATGACACGATACAGCTTTAGGGTGTAGGGTTTAGGGATTAGGGTTTAGGGATTGGAGTTTAGGGATTAGGGTTGAGGGTTAGGGTTTAGGGGTTACATATTCAGGAATCATTCTTTTGGTTCAACCCCTCGGACTGTTACGTCTGCCACAGGCAAGCGGTTCTTCTCCTCACTCATCCATCCTTTCAACGCCAAAATGGCGATGGTTACCAGGCTGCATTGCTTTCCTGTTTATAGGGGTTTAAGGATTAGGGTTTAGGGTTTAGGGATTAGGGTTTGGGGATGAGGGTTTGGGGCTTGGGCAGCCGGAATGAAGCCTTCTCATCCTAAATGTTTCCTGATGCCCTCGTATCCTCACAGAACCCTAAGCACCAAAACCTAAAATAGTTCCCAAAAACCCTAAACTTTAAACAGGAACGATGAGGAGGCCCTCTGGAGGCTGCTTTGCAGAGTTGTTCTTAGTAAGGAGTGAGCGAATATCTTGTTGTACAGGCATTATATGGGGATTATCTTCCCTTATTCCACACCAAGCACCAGAAAGTTGATGGGGTTGTATCGTGCGGTCTGAGCCACCGATACGCAATTTCATCTTCAGCACTGTAGCCCAGACCCAAAACCAGCGGAAAAAACAAAATGCAGAAATCTGGGACCCCTACAAAATCACAAAGTTATTTCTGAAAACTCGCAACCCCCTGAAAATCCAAAAGAGGATGGGCCCCTCCAAATCGACGGCCATGACACTGGCGTTGAATGTCGCTCTGTAGCAGGTGGCTAAATCGTAGTTCCCATAAATAGGGAGAGCCCTATAAAAACCCCCAATATGCTACAATCCTTACTATAGGGATCCTCAAAAACTAACCCCAACTTTAGCAAACCCTAAGCCATAAACCAAAAATCACAGTTTCCATATTCTTTTCCACTCCCTATGTGACCAAAAGGTGCCCTTAATTTTAGGAAGCCCCAGCCCTGTATAGACCCCAATATACTATAATCGTTAGTGTAGGGACCCTCAGGAAAGTACCCTATATTTTGGGAAATCCCCCAAATCTTTCAGCCGCGTCTCGTGGCGCTGCTGCAATTGTATTCCTCGCACAGCCTGCGCCCCAAATGAATTCTACTAGTATCTGTATTACTGCACATGTCAATAGATCTATGGGCGCTGTAGATCTATTCAGTGTAATTTAGAATACTTTCAATTCCCCATTTAAGGCCATTTTGGTACTATTCCCTATCTACATAAACACCATTTTAGGGCGAGGTCGGATGAGGTCGCTTTAAGTTGCCTGGTCTATTCTCTTAGTACAGGTATGTATCTTTATTGAAGAGTACAGCCATGACCTGTTTTGCTCACCCTACGGGCTCAGGCAGGACCAGCCCGACGTGTGTCAACCCTAACCCGATAAGCCCTGAACCCTACTTATCCTGACCCTAATCTTTCCACCCTGGGACTGAAAGCCTCAACCCTACGCAAGCCCTAATTTCTTGACCCCAAGCCCTAAACCCCAATCCCTGAACCCTAACCCGCAACCGCATCGTGTCATAGCTTTCCCCTACCTCCCATGATACCCCTTTCAGGTTCCCCCTTGACAAGGTTTCCCAAAAAACCCTAATTAGCGCGGAATCTGAGGGGGTAGTATGGGGGGCTGGGGCCACCCGTGATGACCCCAAACCCTACATCCGGAACTCTGGCAGCATCATCGTTTGTCTCTGAAAAATTTGTAGAATCTGGCCTGGTCTCGCAGCATTCTTCGTCGGTGCCTCGGCCGGAAGTCCGTTACTCCACAGAGGTGTTTGGGGTTTAGGGGATGTGTAGGAACAACAGGGAACTTTGAAGGCGTGATCTACACTGAGAAACTCACAAAAACCAATGAAACATCAAATCCCTACCTCGTCATACTACACACTGCTGCAGCCCCAGTGTTCAATACTTTGTGTAGGAACCTAAGTATTTTAGGGGGGTAGAAGGAAGCTTCTACATCTGGGGAAGACATTGCAAAGCCTGTTTGCAGGTACTGCTTCATGTGAGCTAGGGTGTAAACTCCCAGTATCCCCCTCAATAACACCTTTTGTAGTCTCCTATATATTCCCTTATAGAACCCCCCCGTGTAAGGAGTTTAGATTATAGCGCATGTGGCAGACAGCTCTGAAGGTATTCGTAAGTCAAGATCCCAAAAAGTTCCCCCCCCAAGTACATAAATACTAAGAACCACGTTTAGGGTTTAGGGTTTAGGGTATACTAAGAACCAAGTTACACTTACTAGTCTCGCCAGAGGTCCTCAGCAAAATGGCCCTCATGTTGGAAGCTAAACCTTAAGCCCTAAACTACCATAAGAAGACTTGAAAACCCCAAACAAACACCGCACGTAGGATCCCTTACTCACCTTCATGAATCCCCATCCCAACCCCCTCCCCCACGTGAGCTAAAGTCTAAACTCCTAGTATCCCCCTCAATAACCCTAGAGTAGTCCCCTATATAATCCCCTACATACTCCCCTTTAAGGAGGTTAGACTACAGCTCATTTGTGGTAACTAGCCCTAATTGAAACCTGGAGGGTGTAGAAACCTGGAGGGTGCAGAAACCTGGGGAATTAGGAATATTATCCCGTATCCCTTATAACCTTTGCATACGTACTAATCCTCTCCCCTGATATTAAACCCCCCCACAAACCCCCTACAATAGAATGCAATGCTGTTCTGGTCATCTAGGGTCTAGGATCCCCAAATACTATACTCCTTATTCTAGGGACCCCCAATTTTGGAACCCCTAAATCCTATATAACCCCCATGTAACCCTATAGACCCGAAAATGGTACCCCCAATGCTGAGTGGAACAAACACATGCTGTCCTGCCGTGGTGGGAGCCTCAGCGTCCTATACCCCAAGCCCCCGCACGCGGTTCAATTCTTAGGGTTCGGGTGTTAGGCTTTAGGGTTTAGGGTTTTTGGGTTTGGGTTTTAAGCTTTAGGGGCGGAAAGGTTTGACCCCATCCCCCTAGTATTAAGCAACCCCACGCCCCAATATTCAATATGCTCCCAATGCGTTTGGGGTACTGTAGGGTGTGTTGAATAATAGGCTTGTTCAATATGGCGGACAAGGATTCTTTTCTGAAGACCCATGTGAGCTGTAGGCAAGATTTCCCTTTTAATTAATGGACATGGGTTACAATTAGGGAGTGTATCGGGTAAACTACCAAGACCCCTATATCCACTCTTAATGGTTTCTTGGTAACCCAAATATTGGAAGTATCATTGAACTGCTAAGCGGAACCTTGCTGCTGAGGCGGCAAAATATGTGACTCAGGAACTTCGGCTACACCCCCAAAACCCTAAACCCTAAACCCTAAACCCTAAACCAAACTCAGACACTTTAAGATTGTAACGGTAAGCTTAGCAACCCTGGGCTTTGGGTACCACATATCCGACTAGAAGCTATATTCCATCCAAACCCAAGAGGTAAACAACTTTAGGGGTATAAAGGAGAACTCGCTGATAAGCCCTATACCCCTGAGCCCCAAACCCTTACACTCCAAGCCTTTATCCTTGAACGTCTCAACTCTGAAAGGCTTAACCCTGTACCCTACACCCTAAAACCCAAAGGTCTTGAACACCCCTAAACCCAAAACCCTTAAGCCTCGGACCGCAAACCCTAAACTGGAAAATCCCTCAGGTATCGATTCCGCGAAATCCTCAAAATCAACACAGGGGGGGCCCTTGAAAACCCTAGGGCCCTAGGGCTGGATGCTGGCAACAGGTTTCTGGGGACCTGTTTCGGGGATTGTGTATTCAGATATTATTACAAACTGCACGTGCAGATATATGTCATTAGCACTGCAAGCTTTAAGGACCTCTCCGACAATACTGGACCCCAACATGCCCTGAAACGTCCCGTCCAAGCCACTGCCCAGGCGGTCGCCCTCCTTCAGCTTCCTTTCAAGGTGACAAAGAGACCAATGTTGGGATACATGAAATTAGGTATACACCGCCCAAGACTGTCTTTAAGTGGTTTTTAGGTTTTAGGCCCAAAATTAGGAAGACTTTTTTGGGGGGGGCCCCTATAATGAGGATTACAGTGACTACG